GAAGAGAGGGTCGGCTCAGAGAGAGAAAGTGAAAGAAATTGAGAGTTTGATCATTGAAGCTTGATTTTGGAGGCCAACTCTAGAATTGACCATAGATTGGAAGAATTGAACCTCTAGGTAAGCATTGATTCTTGAATTCATGAGTTTAATATGTAATCTTGTGTGTTCAAAGTTAATTAATGGTCAAGAGCATGTTTTGAGTTGGTTTTGTTGAATTGGAAGACTATATATGCATGCATGTAATTGTTTGGAATTTGCATATTTGAGCTTGAACTACATGACTCATGTTGCAATTTGGTTGAAATCCATGTATTTGTCCACCTTTCCATCATATGGGATGAGAATGAAGGTTATGTGTCACATGCATGTACAATCCATGGGAGTAGAAGCTTTGAATGCATGAAATTGTTATATTGATAATGAGTTTGGTGGAAAATGAGCCATGCATGTGTTTGATTCATGAAATTGAGCTCCATGTTAATGTATTTTAGTATTGGTACCATGTTAGTACAAGTATATGTGAAATTAGAGCCATAATGTGCAAGAAAAGTGGTTGAAATGTCAAGTTTGAACTCAAGAGAGTGTTCTGGAAAACCCAGAATTTTTTACGTCCGCTCGAGCGGGAGAAGTGCCGCTCGAGCGGGGAATACATACTCTCAGTACTTTTTGCAGACTTGGTTTCCACTCGAGCGGGATATTTCACGCTCAAGTGGAGAGCTTTTGTAGACAGGCCTTCCGCTCGAGGGCCCTAATTCACGCTCGAGCGTATTTTTGATGCAACCAGTACTTTTGCAGGCCTTAAGGGTCTGCTCGAGCGGGGAAGTCCACGCTCGAGTGAGGACCCTATTTTCTGAAATTTTGTTTACACGTTCTGTGTTTCGTTTTCTGTCCTCTTTCACTTCTAATCACTTTTAGGCATACTTTGAGCATTGTAATTGAATTAAAGAGATAAGAATGAAGCTTAAAGAGGAAAATGTGAATTAAAGAACGGATTAAATTAATTGTGACCCATATGTGTTATGTGATGTGTAGGTCAAGCTTTAGGGTAAATCCACAAGCCGATCACTGTGAGTAATATCTGAAATATGTTATTGTCCAATTGCTTACTTCTACGTAAGTTTTGTAAAGTTCATTAATGTTGAATGGTGGACAAAGTTTGATATGGCAAGTCTGAAAGGCTTAAATGCCAGTTTGAAATGAAAGTCTGAAAGGCTTAAATGCCAGTTTGAAATGAAAGTTTGAAAGGCCTAAAGGCCAGTTTGATATGGAAGTTTGAAAGGCCTAAAGGCCAGTTTGATACCAAAAATTGAAAGGCCTAAAGGCCAGTTTGATATGAAAGTTTGAAAGGCCTAAGGGCCAGTTTAAGTTTGAAAAGGCCAAAGGCCAGTTTGACATGAATGAATTGGGCCCGAGGCCGTCTGATATATAATGTTGCAATGTATTTACTTTATTTGATATTATTCACTAGGCTTTCGCTCACGCTTACTCATGTGTTTGTAGGTGAGCCAAGAGAGGTCCAGACCCAGCCCCAGTGAAGTCTGTATGGAGCAACCGGGTTTTTGAAAAGTCAGCCCACATGTCTCACGCACGAGACTCGCCTTCGCCTTTTCGTCATTTTGTTTTATGTTGTCATGTTGGTGAAGTCTTTGTATATGTCTGTGTATAGTTTTCATGGGTTGACTTAATTTTTGGATGATCCTGTTTGTACAAAACTTATGCTACTGTATTTCCGTTGTGAGTTATTAATGTATATATGTTTGGTTGTTTGGATGTGCCATGTATGCACAGCTCTATGGACAAAGTTTTGAACTGCTTCCGTTTGGCCCCCATTAACTCTATTAGAATACATTTGTTTTGGTTTAAGGTCGTAGGTAATCTCATGATTACTGGCCGGTTATGTCCTTAACCCACGGGGGCGGGTTCGGGTCGTGACAGTGAGTGTTTTCCCTCTTTAAGCTTTATTTTGATCAAGTGTTTGGCCACCTTTGCATGCTGTTTTAGGCCTAGCTTTCAACTACAAAAACTTTTGTTTTTAAGTGTTAAAAATGGTTGTTTGAAGCCTTGTTTGAGTTAGGGGTGGTCTACCCCCTTTTTGTGGCTTTTTTTGGTTGGCTTTGAGCTATGTTCTAAAGCCTTTGAGATCACATTTTCTTGGCCTTTTAACCACTGAATTCCAGAGGAATTTTAGTGGTAGAAAGTGGGTTTTTGGACCCAAAATAGGTGGGGGTGGTCCCCCTCCTTTGTACCTTGTTTGCAGGTGTTAATGGCCTCACTCTTTGACATGTTTTTCTACCTTTTTGGGGCTCCATCTTAACATGTTTTTGGTCTTATTTTAGCATGTTATAACTCTATTTTTGGTTGGTTTAGTCATCTCTTGCATGCTTTATACACTTGTAGTGCAATCCTACTTGCTAGCCTAACATGCTTCATGTCTTAGTCTGTAATTCTAGCATGTATTGGCTCCACTCCAGCATGTTTTGGCCATTATTTAACATGCTTTAACTTTGATTTTGGTTGGTTAGGCCACCTCTTGTTTGGTTTTTGCATTTGTAGTGCAATCGTGCTCATTAGCTTAGTGTACTTGTTGATTTGGCTTATCATTCTAGCTTATTTTGGCTACACTCCAGCATGTTTTAGGCATTGTTTTGATATGCTTTAGGATTGTTTTGAGTGGTTTTGGCCTCTTGGGGCTTGCTTTGTATAGCTATGGCATAGTTGGCTTCACTAGTCTTGTGTTTTGAGACCCTTAGCATGCCTTATTTGTGATATTTGTGTGATATGGCATCATTTGGTATGTAATTTCAGAGCTTATATCTTTTCCATGCTTCCACTTGAATCACTCTTTAAGTGCTCTTGAGAGTTAAGCTTTGTGCCTTGCTTGCGAGCCATCATTTGAGCATGCATTTTCTTACCTTTCATGCTATCATTTCAGCCCATTTTAGCCACTATTTCGGCATGCATGAGGTCTACTTAGGGCTGGATTAGTCCTTTGAGCATGGTGTTGCTTGGTTCTAGTGTTATGCTCTTTGCTAGATTCAATGCTTTCGAATTCGAGCACGTCTTACATGCATCATTTTCATGCTTTGATGCCATTTAGCGTCCTATTTCAGTGTTGGAATATGTGCCATTGCATTCCATCTTGCATTTGTTATATCACTTTCGAAAGTGGTCTTAAACCCTTTGTTGGTTTGAGCATGAAATTGAGGCGTTCATTCCTAATGGTTTTAGCCTTCTCTTTGAGAGTTTCTACTAACCAACGGCATGATGCTTCTTTCATGCTCAAGATGCTTGTGGCTTGAGCCATCTTTCCCCTTAGAGGACTTCTCACCATTAGACCAAATCAATTAAAGGATTAATTAGTAAGCTTAAAATGTGTAAACAAAATTGGACCAAGTGAAACATGCCAAGATAACATGTTTGTGTTGCATTGCATGTGTTTGGATTGGATGTTAATCCAAACACAAGAAATAAGAGATGTTTCATACTTGAAATGATAAAACGTACCTCATTTCTTAGTTACCGACACCCTTGATCGTACATGATAGGGTGGAGGTTCATCGAGTCTTACTTGTGCATTCATTAACTTGTACAAACTTGGCTTCTCGGCCATCGTGCACTGCAATGCTCGGTTGGTGGCCCGAGAGTCGAGTACCACACTCCTTTGAGCTTGAGAAATGATAAGGACGGTGGTTATACACACATATCCTACAAAGACCTTGTTTTGCCTCTGTTGTTCCCTGTTTGCAACAAAATTGGAGAATACAGAAGCAAGTGGCCGACCAGCCAGAAGAAGTGGCCTAATGCCTCTTTAAGCGGCCGACAGTTCTCAAGCTCAGAGGTGGTCAGAAGTTGTTCTGGTTTTGGAGCAAAAACAGCCTGGAGATTGGTTCGGTGTTCAGGAATCAAGGCGAATGCAAACAGAGGCAACTGGTGGCAAAGTAATGGACTTTCGGGAGGAAACGGGGCAACCGAGCATGCATGCATCCCTCGCTTCCCGAGGCCTGAGGAAAAAACAAAGCCTCTATGTTGCGCTGCACAAAGTCACAGGCATCGTTGCATCTGCGGCACAATAGCCGATGCTACAGGCCGTTGATTCGTTCATGACTGCACAAAGTCGAGTCCTGACAGCCGTATGCACTGGATAAGGTCAGTGGCATGCATGTGATCGAACAGGAAATTGCATACACACAGCTACCATGTGTGTATATGGTATAAATATCGTAGCATACCACAACAAAAGTTTTACATCTATTTCTACCGATATGATCATGACATATACGGTGGTTGATCTATATTCAGCAATGGGTCGCTATTGGGTTGCAGATGGAGATGAATTTCAATACCCATTAAATCCAAATTTGCGTTACTCACGTGCCACCGTCAATACCATGAGAGCTGAGTGGGAATTTCGCAAAACTCGAGCAAACGTTCTCGTTGAGCTATGCCGTGAAGTTAATCTTAAATTTCCTCGCCGGTTAGCCATGCGTATGCCAACTGACACTCCACAGTTGTTGCAAAGGGTATTGCATCGTATCCGCGACGAGGTTAATCGCATGACCCAACGTTTGCAGAGGTCCGGATTAATGAAGACCGCAAATGAGCGTGCCGAAGATGGGTTAATGGATGATGCACACCAGTACTACGCCTGGAGCATGGATGTTATGTATGAATCTGATATTGAGATGTCAGATGATGATGATAATGAATGAAATTGTTTGGATGAACGCCCAGGGCATTTCTGTAATGCATGCAATTTGTAATGCTTATCCATGACTTATCAATGAAGCGAGATATTTCAATTATTTTTAGCCTTGAACAAACATATTTTTTATAGCTTCTTTACACGTTTTGTTCAAACCAAACGCGTTTGTAATTTATGTTCTCCTAAATTACGGATAATGAGAGAGGGGTAGAGATGTGAAACAGATTTGTGTGATTCATCAATATAAATAAGAATAAAAAATTGTGAAATTATAATTGCGAATAAATAAGTATGACACTTACATCAGCTGTACAAGTTTGACACATACAAACAAAAAAAAGAAAAAAAACTATATAGTCCATATCGCAACCGCTAATGCCCTAACCTGTCCCCAGTCCCACAACCCCGACCGTGGATCTCCCTCCTCGGTCTCCTACGGTAGACTCTCTGAATATCTGGCACTCTCTCCCCTGCATGCGGCCCTCCACTGACTGCCTGTGGAGCCTGTGAGTGTGAGTGTGACCCCCCCTCTCCTGCATCTGATGCACCTGATCCTGCCTGTGCCTGTAGATCAGATACTGCTGTGAGCTGTGAAACTCCCACTCCCTCGTCTGGTGTAACTGTATCACGATCTGCAGCTGCACCCGGACCTCTGCCTCTGCCCGCACCTCGACCTCGGCCGCGACGTCCCCCACGACCATAACCTCTCCCTCGCGCTCTGGGGGGGTGCTCAATGTGGGAGATGTCAGTGAGAACTGCATCATGTGTACTCCTGGGTGCGGTCGAAGTAGTCCCCATAAAAGCAGGTGGTAACTGGGTGGGTGGGGTAGCAACATCATGCATGAACCGGGGCGCGGTCGAAGTACTTCCCAGAAAAGTAGGCTGTAACTGGGTGGGTGGAGTAATAACATCATGCATGAAGCGGGGCGGTGACCAATCAGGGTCAGGGTCAGCATGCTGGGTAAGATGGACGTGTGGGGAATATGGAGAAATGTATGGGGTATCATGTGGTGGGGTGACTGAAGTCGAAGGACCTGCTGTGGCTGGCGCTGAACTGGGAGGCACTGACGTGGACGGGACTGATGTGTCTGGAGCAGCTGCTGCAGTGTGTACACCGTAGTCCCCAAAATGCAGACGATCTACCCGATGGGCATGCTGGATCCCCTCGTACAATAACTCTCTGATCTCTACAAGGGCCTGCAGACCAAGCTGTCCATCACGTCTGAAAATAGCATCCTCAGCCAAGTGATATGACCTCCCAACTCGAACCACCTGGAAAAAAAATCAGATATATTAGGCTATAGTTGACTGAAAATAATCAATTATGATATTAACAATTATCGGACATATAGTACGATACTCACCAATGCCTCGAGAGAAGGCCCAACTCCCTGATATCCAGCCTCGGACAGGTGGCTCGGATTACCGACAAGTAGGTGTGTATGTCGCCGATACCACAACATGTAAGGGTCGGGAGAGGGGAGGACCCCATCGCTCCAGTCAGCCTGTACAATAGTGTCGCGACGGGCATCCCACAACTGTATGTATCGCATATGATGCTGACTCCAGTCAGTGCTGGCTCGGCCACGTCTATCCGTCGCATGCAACCGCCACTCGGTGTCACACCGATCCGGCACGGCCTGGACCCGACCAAACTGTCGGAGGACACGATCAGGGAGATGCCACTCAACCACGTCAAAACAAATGAGTGGTACTCTCGCCATCCATATATCCTCACCTAGGCGGCAGTAGTCTAGGAGCGTTTGGAGGACATCAGCATAAGGCTGCCAGATAAACTACAATAACGACAAGTCTATTAAAAATCGGCCATAAATGTATACAGTCCATATGACAATTAAAATTTAGGTATTTAAATTTGATACCTCGCCGTCTATCATCCGGTCAAGCTGGTCTCTATACACGACCACTACGTGGGTCGATACGACCTCGTGGCTCATGTCAACCCTCCATCGGCTACCTCGAGGTCCGGCCGGCATCTGCATGTCTCCCTGCCCGATGGGAACCTCACCAGGAGCAACTACTTGCCGCCTAGCCGGGGCAATGCGAATCAATCTCTCCCACGCCCAAATCTGCAATAGTTTGAACGCAATTACAATACTGATATATGCCATACAATATGAATTGACATGTAATAAAATTCTTACTAACCTGTAGCAAGACAAGGGGTCCTCCGATCTGAGTCACACCCACCTGAGTGGCTCGACATAACATCCTATACAAGCATGCCAAAGCCGCAGCGCCCCAGCTGTACTGGCCGATGATGTCAATGTCTCTTAACAGTGGCAAATACATCAGCTTGAGCAGGTTCTGTGACTTATCAGGGAGAAGTACCCCCCCAATAAGCCACAAAATATATGCTCGCGCATGCTGCTGTACTAACTCATCTGCAGCATGATCTGGAAAATCGCCCTGAAAATGCTCCGACAGCCACCTCACCCTCACTCTACCTGCCTGTAAGTTTGCAGGTGTAGGTGCTACTCCCAATAGCTCAGCACATAACGCTATCCACTGCTCCGTCGTCAATGATGGGTCAAGTCCAGTAACTGCTCGCCCATCAATCCGTAGACCGTATAGGACAGATACGTCCTGCAATGTGACGGTGGCCTCACCGGTCGGGAAATGAAATGTATGAGTCTCTGTGCGCCATCTCTCGACGAGAGTAGTAATGAGTGGGTGGTCCAATCTGATATGGCCTATACGATATACACCATAGAATCCCGCGCGTAGTAGACACTGCAAGACTCTATGGTCTAATGGACGATCCCACAGGCCGGAATCTCCCCGTCGGGATGCCACCACGGTGCGTGACTGGTCCTGCATAACAGAATGAGTATTTTAAATTATAGCATTATCAAGGAAATGAAAAACAAAATGCAGTGTATTTTCATTGTACGCGTAAAGTCCAACAAATGTTATTGCATACCGGGTCCTCCCATATACTGTCAGCCCGATGTGGATGACTCAAAAGGGGGACCTCATCAGGTAGATGTGCCATGAAGCATGTATAGTTGAAAAACAAATACATTTTGAAAAACTGTATTGGTGAGCATGTAATTTAACTATATCAATTAAGCTCAAATTATTATGTACATGACGACTTGGAAAATAAATGTGGTCGATTATTTAAAAAGTATAAATTTGTGTGCCATTAACATGGAAGCAATTAACTAAAATCAGAATTTTGCATATTATGTGCCATTAAATATGATAAGCAATTCAATATAACCTATGGTTATCTATGCTTCGGACTAATATAAAAATCTTTTACAAAGTCATTTTACGATCTCAGTTACATAAGCTTAATAATGACCAATAACATGTGGATGGTTTTTGTATGTCAATATTTACAAACAATATGGAATGATCATTTTTTTTTTCAAAACTTCATTATTGATTTTGGCATATTTGACATAACCTCATTATTGATTTTGACATATTTGACAAAATTCGTTACATTTATGGCATATTCGACAACTTCATTATTGATTTTGTAATTTTTGTTTTGCAATAAAGTATAAAATTTGTAAATTACGTACATGTAATTCATAAATTCTAAATGTACAAAATGCTTGAATCAGTCGAAATATTAAAATCTTAAAATGAAAGAAGAACTATGCGATTTTAAATAAAATTCTGTAATAAACATTTTCAATGAAGTAGAGAATAAAAACTATGATAGTTGTAAATTTTGACAAGCAAATAAAACAATTACAATATATAAAGAATTAAACAATAGAAATGATCTATTACAAATAAAAAATGTTCTATTAAATGTATGACCCCGTTTACAAATAATGAATTACAAAAGAAAAGAAAATAATCTATTACAAATAAAGAATTACAAAAAGATCTATTACAATATGTAAGTATTACATAGTCTTCATCGACCAAGTCGCGCCGGACATGTTCGCCTGTCATGACCTGTCTGCTGGCACTCACTGCAACGAGCGGTCAAACGCCTATCTGATATGTCCATCTCATTCGGAATACGAGACATAGATGCACGACCCCGTTTAACTTCTCGCAGACGCAGTATATTAGGCATTAAGGTTCACTGCGGATCAGCCCAATAATCTTGATGCGGTATTGGATTGAATTTAGTTTCCCAAACCCTCATGTATACATGAAGCCTATATACTAGATCAACGTACTCGAATGGATTGTCACCGCATTCAGACATTACAGCGAGCATATGAGAACATGGATAGTGTCGTATCTCATATTTCCCACAACTGCACGTGGGTTGATTCATCCGCACAATTTGTGTATTGCGACCTCGTCCATGGCGAAAAGATGTTTGCACCTCAAACACGCGGCGTGGCCTATAAAAAAATTGTAATAGAAACTAATGAAGTTCATGTTTTTAGGTGTAGTTAAATTGACAACATAATAACAATAATTTAATTTATATTACAAACTAACCTGTCATACGATATCAACTTGAAATTATTTGCCCTTGCGATGCCATCCTCAATAGTTTTTTGCATCTCTCTAGGGTATTGGAACTCATTTCGTACATCTAGTTCAGCTTGGGCTCCCATTTTGTCAAAATATTTTACAAGCTGCCGAAATGTAAATTCAACCATAGCTGAGATAGGTAAGTTCCTTGCACCTTTCAAGACGCTATTGAAGTACTCTGCATCATTGCTAGTCAATACCCCCCACCGATGTCCACCGTCATACGAAAGGGCCCAGTCCTCAGGATTCATCTTGTAAACCCAAGTGATGGCTTCTTAGTCAATAGCCTGTATTTGTTGTAAGTAACCATTACACTTTCGTCGTTGATGAGCACTTCCTGCTTTCTATAGAAGTTGTTTCAGCTCCTTATTTCTGAACGTAGTGTTAAAGTTACTACAAACATGTCGAAGGCAGTGCCAATGATATCCAACAAATTAGAGCGATGGATTCAACCAATGCCGCCTCACAGCAGCTAAAATACTCTCAGCTCGATCGGATATTAAAGTCACTCCCTGTCGGTCCATGACAATATGTTCCTTGATATTTGAAATGAAGAACGACCAAGACTCCAAACTCTCTTTGTCGACAACAGCAAATGCAAGCGGTAGTACTTTGCCATTGGCGGTGACAATCGTTGCTACAAGCAACACACCAGTGTATTTCCCGTATAAGAATGTACCATCTATGGTTATAACAGGCCTACAATGTCTGAATCCATCGATGACGGGTTTGAAAGACCAAAAAACAAAGTGGAAAACGGGCATAATGGTTGTATTTCCGGTATATCTATGCTTCCATTGCACAATAATGCCAGGATTAGATGTTTGTAATGCATACATGAATTTAGGCAACATCATATATGATTCATCCCAATCTCCGAATACCATTCGAATTGCCTTTGCCCTTGCATGCCACGCCTTCTTGTAATGTATAGTATAGTTCATGGACTTTTTTATGTCTTCGATGACATTCTTAATGGGCATATCAGGTTCGTTCTGCATACAACAATACCTATGAGTCAGATTATTTTGGTGTGAACACTTTAAAGACACAATTTTGGTGTGAACACTTTAAATAAACAATGTGTATATAAATGTAAACATTTATTTTGTATACTCACCGCAACTTGTCCCAAAAGATGAGAAGCAATATAACTGGAGTCAATATTAGTGTGGTGCCTGTTCATTCGTGGGTATAAACAATGGTGAGGACCCCTATACTGCTTTATTTCAAAAAGACCATGTGTCTTATTAAGAGATGTACGCAACCACCACCTGCAATCGTGCTTGCAAGCAGACACCCAAAGGTCTCGCTTGGAGGTTACGACCTTATACTCTCGATTATTTATTGCGTGATACAATTTCACAGCATGTACAAGTTGCTTCTTATCGACGAAGACCATCCCTTTGTCCAACTCTGCATTTTCAGCGCTCCAGATCTGGTTACAGGGAACGACATCACGGTTACTCATGTTAAAATCACCAACCATGTGAATGTTCTTATAAAAAGGGATTTCAGGTCTAGGTGGGATGGGAACATTTTCAGGGTCAACGAGGCCGTCGACATCATCTTCTTCGTTATCATCATCTGATCCGGTCAATAAATTTTCTTCATCACACATTTCAATCTCATCATTGCCTAGGGCGACATCAGGACCGTACATGTCACTGTCAGCAAACTGCACAAAATTAACCGTTTCAGCCATATTACCAGCAACTTCAACTGGAGTCGTATGATGGCTATAGGTGGGCACATCTTGGGTGTTATTGTGAAATTCAGTCTCGTATCCACCATGTGAACTTGATTCTCCACCATGGCCATGAAATGTCTGTTGTGTGTAGCCAGCTGCATAACATTCATTTGATTCATACATAGGAGACTGAAATGCTGTCGTGTCAACCCCATGTGTCAGCAATGTAGTGAACTTGGACAATATAAAATACAGGGTGCAAACATTGAGAGAGATTTTTTTAACCTGGTGATGTAATTGTTCAGATTTATGGAAAATATAAGTTAATTTGATTTGCTCCAACTTGTGCCATTACGGACCTTAATGACAAAGTTATTTCCTATGTGAACTAGTAACCCTCGTCCATTTTGTAGAGGGCATAGAGGCTTTCTTATAAAATTAAAACAACAAACTGATTTTGGATCATTTTGGATTGTTCTGAAAAGTAAGAAAAACATTAAATTTATTTACTCCTTTTTTTTCTTACACATACAAAAACAAAAAAATAATTACAGAGATAATTTATAATGGCCAAAAATTAGAGATAATTAAATTGAAGTTGGTGGTTAAATGTATGGACTACATTTTGGATAGTTATCCATGTGAATCTATCGGGCCATCCGTACCAATTATTTGGTATTACAAAACACATGCTTACCCATCAAAGTGCCAATTTTTTTTTTCCCTTCTTACGTACGAAATTGCTATGGACTATTAATTAAAATAATTTATTACTCTTTTCATGCATATATTATACAAACATGAATAAACATTATTAAAACATAATGTTTAGATTTTCCTTTTCAATGGTAGTGGACAATCACAAAGTGAAAAAGGCGATAAGTCAGTTCGTTCAATACCCATTTCAAAAACTTTTTCAAATTTTCTTCAGTTTTCTCAGAAAATTTTAATTTGTACTAGAATACTATTATATGTATTACAAATTCAGCTCATTAAATGTTTTAATCATATTTTGGCTGCCTGACCCCAAATATAGTGAAATAAACCAAACGAAATTAAACCAAATTTTTTTTTTTTTTAAATCAAATAGAGTCAAATTTAAATATTTTGAGAAACCAATAAAAATATTTCTTTTCAATAAAATAGAGTCAAAATTAAATATTTTGATAAACCAATAAAAATATTTCTTTTTAATAAAATAGAGTCAAAATTAAATATTTTGATAAACCAATAAAAATATTTCTTTTTAATAAAATAGAGTCAAAATTAAATATTTTGATAAACCAATAAAAATATTTCTTTTTAATAAAATAGAGTCAAAATTAAATATTTTGATAAACCAATAAAAATATTTCTTTTTAATAAAATAGAGTCAAAATTAAATATTTTGATAAACCAATAAAAATATTTCTTTTTAATAAAATAGAGTCAAAATTAAATATTTTGATAAACCAATAAAAATATTTCTTTTTAATAAAATAGAGTCAAAATTAAATATTTTGATAAACCAATAAAAATATTTCTTTTTAATAAAATAGAGTCAAAATTAAATATTTTGATAAACCAATAAAAATATTTCTTTTTAATAAAATAGAGTCAAAATTAAATATTTTGATAAACCAATAAAAATATTTCTTTTTAATAAAATAGAGTCAAAATTAAATATTTTGATAAACCAATAAAAATATTTCTTTTTAATAAAATAGAGTCAAAATTAAATATTTTGATAAACCAATAAAAATATTTCTTTTTAATAAAATAGAGTCAAAATTAAATATTTTGATAAACCAATAAAAATATTTCTTTTTAATAAAATAGAGTCAAAATTAAATATTTTGATAAACCAATAAAAATATTTCTTTTTAATAAAATAGAGTCAAAATTAAATATTTTGATAAACCAATAAAAATATTTCTTTTTAATAAAATAGAGTCAAAATTAAATATTTTGATAAACCAATAAAAATATTTCTTTTTAATAAAATAGAGTCAAAATTAAATATTTTGATAAACCAATAAAAATATTTCTTTTTAATAAAATAGAGTCAAAATTAAATATTTTGATAAACCAATAAAAATATTTCTTTTTAATCAAATAGAGTCAAAATTAAATATTTCAGAGAACATGATCTTTTATTTGAGAGAACATGATCTTTTCATGGAGAGAAAATTAAATATTTTTTTAATCAAATACATTCAAAATTAAATATTTTTTTGTTTAATAATTATATTTTGCAGAAATTAGACATTAACAATTTCTGAACCATAATTTGATTCAAAAAATGTAGACATTTTGATTCACAAGCATAATTTCAAAATTCCAATTTCTGATTTCAAATTTCAAAATATAGACATTTCAAAATTCCAATTCAACAATTCTCAATTACATGAATTTCGTAATATGACATTAACAATTACGAATTATATGAATTACAATTTTTACTAATTTTATTCTTAATTAAACAAAATTACTTTTAAAACCATAATTTGAAACCCTAATTTCCTTTTAATTCCTGTTAACAAGCAAAAAAAAAAAAAAACTCACAAGCATCATTTCAAAATTCCATTTTCTGATTTAAAATTTCAAAATATAGACATTTCATAATTTCAAATCAACAATTCTCAAATACATGAATTTCAAAATATGACATTAACAATTATCAATTATATGAGTTTCGGATTTTTTAATCGCAATTCTTAATTAAAAAAAATTACTTTTAAAACCCTAATTTCCTTTTAATTCCTCTTCACAAGCAAAAAAAAAAACAATTTCTAATTCAACAAATGTACGTTGGTTTATTCAATATTCAAAATATAGACATTTTGATTCGCAAGCATAATTTCAAAATTCCAATTCCTGATTTCAAATTTAAAAATATAAACATTTCGTCATTTCAATTCTCAATTCTCAATTCTCAATTCTCAATTCTCATATTTATGATTTATTTAAAAAATTCAAAAAATTAAAAAAATTCCAAACCCGATTGATGATTCAAAAGCATAAAAATTCAAAAGCATTAGAACCCTTAATAATGTGAACCCTAAAATGACATCCTAATTTGAACAATCCTAATAATGTGAACAATCTGATATCGAACCCTAATTTCATCACCACAACCACACTGACAAAGCATAAACATTCATAACCATATTCAATTCACAAGCAACATCCAAAAACTCAAAAGCAAAAAAATTCCACAAATTCAAAACCATTCGCATTTCTGATTTCCAAACCCTGATTTCTGATTTCAAAAAATTCCAAACCCTAATTTCATAACCACAATGATAAAAACCCTAACACATTTAATGATTCACATGTAAAACCCTAACATTGATAGAAAAATACAACACATTTACAAACACAAAAACTAAATACATAAAATTAGGGTTAATGTCATACCACGGAGAGAGAGAGAGAGCAGAGACAGAGAGTGAGAGCAGAGACCGAGAGCAGAGAGCAGAGAGCGAGAGCGAGCTGAGAGGAGCTGAGATGGAGGAGGGTGAGAGATGGAGAGGCTGAGAGATGGAGAGTGAGCTGAGAGCGAGATGGAGAGCAAGACCCGAAAAACCTAAGTCTGAAAAACGTATGCAAATGAGGGGGGGGCTTCGTATATACGAGGGACGTTAAAAACGCTGATTGAAAAAGCGTTTTCATTTAAGTGAACTCGCTATTAGCAATAGCGTTTTTCTGGCAAAAAAAATTTGTTAAAATCGCTATTAGCAATAGCGTTTTTCTGGCAAAACAATTTTGTATAAAAAGCGTTGTTCTTAACAGCATTTTCCTTGGGAAAAAAATTAACCCTAGAAGCGCTATTTGTAACAGCGACTTTTTAATCAAAGTCGCTATTTGTAATAGCGATTTTTCTGTTCATCTACTTTTGCGCTCCTAACAGTAAAAGCGCGAATAGTAATGGCGCTTTAGCTTAGTTTTGAAATTCCGTCAGAAGTTGGCCTAGTTTTGGAAATACAATGTAAAAAAGGCTTATATTGGGAAAAGCCTCCATACTAATTGATTGCATATATTTCATAGTACTAACATTACTCATTCTTGATTAAAAAAAAAAAACATTATTCATCAAAATATAATAAAAAAAATTCACTCATGTGTGAATAAATGTTGTTCTGACTGGTTGAAATAAAAACACAATTTATTATTTCTCATTTTCTTTTCTTGGCACCCAGCCTTCATGGGACACAATCATTTTATAGGAAATTTTAATATAGCCCTTTTAAAAGGAGTACGGATCTTACTTGTAATTATGATTAATTTTTTTTAATTAGGACTCACGAGGTTTATACTTGTGTCGTGTCTATTTTTTTAGTTATTTTTTTTCATTTTATTAATTTATTTTTTAAAATTTCTTTTGTGCCCTCATCCCTGTGATAAAATTTATTTTTTAAAATTTTCTTTTGTGCCCTCATCCCTGTGATCAAACAGAGGTCGCAGTTAGCGCTTGAGACGTGCCGCTGAGAAGTGCGATCGGTCAATAGCTCCTCTCCTCTATCTTCATCTTCATAAGTTAGGTTCTTGTTTCCAAACTCCGCATAGGCATCTAATCTAATCAGATCTAATCGGCTTATACATTAAAGTTTGATTTGGAGTTGGAGTTGGAGTTGGAGTTGGATTTGGGCTTACGAATTACGTAGGTAGGTGGTGTGGTTTAGAGGGACAAATCAAGAGTTAAAACAAAAAGTAGTAAATAAAAAGAGAAGAGGGTAGTTGGATTTGATTGTAAAGGGTTTTGCAGAAGATGAAAACCTCGTCCTTCTCCTCCTCCTCCTCCTCCTTTTCCTTGTTATGGTTTATTATTATGTTATGGGTGGCTTTTTTTATTGGTAGATCGGCTTCTGTTCCCTCCAGAGACCTACTTGGAATTGCTCCCCAAGGTTTTCTTTTCTTTTCATTTTCATTTTCATTTTCATATTATGCATATATACATATATGTACTACGCATTATGAGAGAAGGACATATATGTCTATGATGTTGAATTTGATTTTGATTTTGATTTTTGTTAAACATCATGGATAATGGATGACAACAGATGAATTATATTATAAGACATTTTCATCATCCTCCTCGTCATCGGGCACTATCAGTATCAAATGCAGGGATGGATCCAAGAAATTTAGCAAATCTCAGCTCAATGACGACTTCTGCGACTGCCTCGATGGCACTGACGAGCCTGGTCTACCCTTTCTCCCTCATTTTTCTTTTTTACTTCGATATATCTACTGCTTATTCCCCTTTACCTTCTGTATTGTTATTTTGCTGCAAAATTAGCTGTGCTAGCCTATGTTGTCTTTAATTGCACTTTCATCACAAGAAAACAAGTATGTGGTCTTCACAAAATATAACTTAAAATTGGATATATGTATATATATATATATATATTAATTATTTTTTATGTTACGTGTTCTGGTGGTGCCTCTTTTGTTTTTTTATTTTATTGGGTTGCTGCTTTCTCTGGTTGTTAGGCTTCAAAATATATGTCCTATGCATTATCTTTGTTTGGTGGTTTGACAAATTATTGTTGTGGGTTTTCAGGAACATCAGCATGCCCCAATGGAAAATTCTATTGTCACAATGCAGGCTATGCTCCATTTTTTATATTTTCTTCTAGAGTCAATGATGGTATTTGTGGTAAGAAATCCTTTTTACTCCCAAATCACCTATGAGACTATAATAGGACTACAACAAAACTAGTAGCTCCAAACAATGACAATTTTCAATTATTGCCACTTCTTTAACTTTGCTTTTTTTTTTTTTTTGGGCTCTTCTTGTGGATTGCATTACCAGTGATGCTTTATGGAACAAAATGTTGGGCAATAAAGAAACATGTGTATAAAGTAAGGAGTGTACTTGAGATGAGAATGCTTAGATGGATGTGCGGTAAAACTAGAAAAGATAATAAATTTGTGAAATGGTAGGAGTAGCACTTATTGAAGGTTAGTTAAGAGAGAATACGTTCACGTATAACGAATACTTATTTATGCAATGGTAAGGAAGAGTGATATGATCACCATTAACGGAAGTGGTAGGGGGAGGGGAAGGCCTAAGCTGATATGGGATGCAATAGTGAAAAAGTATATGGATTTACTTAAATTAATTAAGCATAGAGCCTCTGATAGAGTTGAATGGCAAAAAATGATTCATGTAGACAACGTCACCTAATTTGGACACAAGCCTTAGTTTGATTTGGTTTCATTGTTTCCTTGTAATAAATATCTCCAATATACAAAATATTTTTTCGAGTGTGAGTCTGACTTTTTAATGTGGTATTAGCATAAGTTATTTTCAATATAATCCATTCTTTGATTTTGCATTGGTCTATTCACTTTTAACTTGTTTATCATGATGCTTTATGTGTTAAACATCCTCTAAAATGTCATAGCTTGTTGCTTTCGTTTTTCTTTTTTTCTTAAGCACATTAATGTTGCAAGCTTTAATCGTATAGGCCTTTTAGTCTTTATCTAGGTCTCCAGTATAGAAGCGTATAAATTGTCTTGTCCCCCCACCTTGTAAGTTGTAAAACAGAAAGAATAATAAGACCCACTTTAAAGGAGCAAATAAATAGGAAGTTAATCAAAGGTTGTTAAAAAGAAGTTAAGGCCCTTCCGTTTTTTTATTTTTTTATTTTTTATTGTGTATATGTATTTTCATCCTTCTTACTCTAACCTCTCATGAACTCTCTTTAATGTTTCTCTCAATGCATGATCGTGCGTGTTGTTTGTGGAAACCCTCTAGTCTAAAGTATTAAACCTTTTCTCGTATTTTTTATATGCATGTTAGCTTAGTTTAAACATTTTTGGTGATTTCATCTACTCTTCCAAAGGATTGTCACTTTGCCCTCAAATTATTTACTCTCAATGCATGATCGTGCGTGTTGTTTGTGGAAACCCTCTAGTCTAAAGTATTAAACCTTTTCTCGTATTTTTTATATGCATGTTAGCTTAGTTTAAACATTTTTGGTGATTTCATCCACTCTTCCAAAGGATTGTCACTTTGCCTCAAATTATTAAGCTTTCAACATAAACTTTGTTCTCAGTAGTCAGTAGGGAAAGAGTGAGAAAAAAACATTCATGAGCCAACAACCGTAAACACTTACAATATTATTAATCAAAATCTGAATAATGCAATGCAAAACCTAATATTTATAGGCCTAAGGCCATTATTTGGAAACATAATAATTGGAAACTAAACCCAAATAATATTTGGAAACATAAACAAAATATCCTAACTAATAATTTTGTAAATTACATTATTGGACCAAAAAGTTTTCTTTCCATGCAATGTGCCCATAGGCTTCACCTGAGACTTCCAAAGTAGACAATTCGCTTTTAACCAATGAAGGATTGCAACATCAATTTTCCCCCACTGAAAAGAACTTGATTTTGGTGCACATCAAGAATCTCATTTGAATGAGGAACATGCCTAATCAACAATTAATTCTTCTTCAATTTAATGACTTTGGAATCAGTGGCACAAGTAAAGCTGTATTTCACAGTCATCAATTAAAAAAAAAAGTGTTTACATGTCCAGCATGTGTAACAGGATGATCCCAAATCCATGTGTGGCTGAAGAGAATATGACAGAGCTTAAGAGGCAGAACATCACACATTCCGATCTCTTTGAGTTTGCCAATGTTGAATGTCATGAGGTAGTGCTTATCGATTTTAATTGGTATTAGTAATCCATGCCACGTGATAAGGCCAAGGGTGTGGCTCAACTTTCAAACTCAGTTTCTTCACAAATTCTTCAGATACATCATTAGTGCAATTCCTAGTATCAATCCCTATCTAGAGAGCACACTTGATCACTGTATTTACCCTCGTATGAATTTTTTATCCCTTCATTGTAGCTTTTCAAGTTCCCTTAGTCTTGTTTACTGGAGGCTAACAAAGGTTGAATGATGCCAATCACATCATCAAAGAGATCATCAATGGACTCGTGGTTGACAGGATCAACAACTTGCACAAAAATCCTCATAATCTTGGATTCTTTTATCTCTTAACGTTTTTTCATTTTCTACTGCAACAACTGACTTAATATACACATTAATTTTAGGAGAGTGCAGTCTCGAGCATGATGCCCATAAACTTGAAAATTAAAACATTTTGGCTTAAGATTAGTGCGAATTACACTTTACTCCCATCAACTATTGCGCCATGTCACTTTACCCCCTTCATCTACTAATTCGGTCAACCAAGTCTTGCCGTAAAGTCGGCATTCTAAGACCTATTTGGCATTTCTATAGATGGGGAGTATTTATTGGGGATAACTTGAGCTTTTATGGAAGTTGTGGGTTATGGCTTAGTTTAGTTGGCATTAGTGAGTGAAATCTTTGAATTGTTGTATCATGCTGTGTCTGTTTGCCTGGGAAGGATGTCTCGAGGTGTAGGAATTCTGGATTGGTAAATAAGATGTGAGATCAGATCACATTATGGTTGTCACTAACTTTAATAATATTGTGAATTTAGTAACTAATAGGATTACTAAGTATCAAGGGCATGTTTAGTAGCAATTTGGTTTTCAGTTTTTTCCTTCGATTTTTTTTTATATGAAAATATGAAACCAATTTCAGAATCATTTGCATTTTCTTATGGACTCAAAATTTTGGAATCTCATAAGATTTTTCTTTTCTTTTTTTATGTTTAGATAGTGTTTTTTCTTTTCTTTTCTGAAGGGCCATTTCTACAAGTTTGGTTTTGAGAAGGTATCTGTAGAATGGTTTATCAAAAAAAAAAAAAAAAAAAAAGAAGAAGAGAATGAAGAAGAAAAAAGAAAAAAAAGAAAAGAAAAGAAATATTAAAACAGAAGCAATACTAATGTCCACTGTTTCTGTACGATTTTCATTTGAAAAGGCTGACTCACAAGAAATATATTTCTAAATGTGATGAAATATTTCACAAAAAATATGTATTATATTATAAGATATAAAAATTACTATCTGTTTAAGCTATAAAAATTGCTTATTTCCTTCCTCATTTATTTATAATTATTTATATATCTATACAATGTAGGCAAAAACATATGTATATATACATTCTAATTAGTAATATTAAAGAGTCTTTTTGGAAAGTATTATTATCAATCGAGAGTTTTTTTTTTGTTTTTTATCCACTGTTAAACAAAGTTGGTTTCTTAAAAAGTTTCTAATGTAAATCAATTATTAAAAGGTCAACTTTAAATGGTGTTAGAGTAATAAATTGGGCTTAAGATGAACTAAGCTACTTGAGCATGGCTAGTTAGAGGCTTGCTCAAGTTCAACTTGTAAAACAAATGGCTAAGTTTGATCATACTTTGGAGCTTGGTGGTTTATTCAGCTTGGCTTGGACTTGGTTTAATAAGCTCGTGAGCACCCTAAGATTGTATAAAAAACCAAGCTAAATGAGCTTCAATTTTGAGTTTATTAATTTTTCAAGCTGACATTGAGTAACCCACTACTTGGCTTGTTTATGTCCCTAATTGTAAGTCTCAACTTTTGTTGGAAGTGTATCCAGAGGGACATGCCCTAAGGTTGCCTCCTCTTTTTTCCCTCCCACCTTTTCTCTGTTTTAGTCACAGCTACGTTTGTGATAACTTTGATAGTGGACAACCTAGTGAGAAGAGGTGAAGCGCTTCATAATAGATGCAGTATTTACAACAATGCTTAACCTGAATCATCTTGTGTTGCATTCAACTGTTGTTAGAGGTCTATGGTGTGACTTCTTTCACCCGTTTTTGGGGTTTATCAGGTTGCTTCAGTTGGGAACACATATGTTACTTGGGAATGTTTTGTGTGAGAAACAAGGGCAGCCAGGTGAGCTGCACTTTTTGTGTCGTACGTGGAGTCTTTGGGAAAGACTTAAGACTGCAACCCACCAGGGTAGCCTAGCGGTTGCAGATTGTCATTGGACTAACATGAACCCAGAAGTCTTATAGTCTACTCCCATTAGTACGCCCTTACTTGCCTGATACCTGTGGCTAGCAGGTGGTTGCCGGTATCCGGGGTTCAGCGTCCAGGGGTGGGTTGAAACTGCTCTTGTTGGTGGGGTTTCTCATCATAAAAAGGGGGCTAAGACTACAATCACTGCATCAAGCAGACTTTTGTTGCTGTCGAGATGTAGATGCATAAATTGAATTGAAGCAGTTGATTTTTAATTATTATTATTTTTTATTTTTTAAATTAAGAGAATTTTATAAAGGTCGTAAAAGGTACACCATGCAACGGGCATACCCAAGTTCAAAAAACAACGAGGATGAATTAGCAACAAGATAAAAGTATGGCACTGTATACTCCAGTCAGTCAAGACAGCAAACAGCATCAGAGGACCTCTTTCTCACAAATGTCATTCAGCTTCCAACCCAGCAAGATCACCTACACAAGCATGGTCCTCAACTGACATTTGCAAAAATGGTGCTTGGAAGCTTCTATTTACGCTGTAATTAATCATTTGGTTGGTACTTCTGCAAACAGAAAGAAGTCGGTGTTCAACTCTGTTTATTTGGTTGATGAGAATTTTTGATTAGAGAATAAAATTGCTAACTTGATGAGAATTTTTGATTGAGATGTATTAGAAAATTTTGAAATTTGTTTGTAGCTTAGGTGAACATGAATCCTCTCTTGCGAGGTTCAGTATATTTGCATTAGCTACAGTGGATATATATGCTTAAACTACCCCTTTAAAGATTTTCAAAGGACTGCCTATTTTCTTTCCACCTATAAATACTATATAAGACAGAATTCTATTGCCGAACACACTTTTTTGTTTCTCCTCTTACTCATCTTAAGTCCTTTTAAGCCATGACACAATTTCCAAACAGGTATAGGGAATACCCAACACACTCCAAATATAATCAACATGACACGGCGTTCGACATCTCACTATCAAACTTACATTAAGTAGTTGATCTATCTACTGATTCTTTCACATCCTTATGCATACAACACTTCAATTTACGAGAACTTTATTCTTTAATGAGATTGTCAATGGTGAGAACTCCCTGCATTATGCTTTTGTTAAAACAAATTTTGGCATCCTTTGAATAAACTTTACACATGCAAATATCTTTATTATTGCAATGTAAATTTTAGCAGTACTTACTATTTTGATTTTTGACATGCCCTGGTGAGCAGATTGCTGTGATGGTAGTGATGAGTACGATGGTAAAGTGAAGTGCTCAAATACATGTTGGGAGGCTGGAAAAGTTGCTAGAGATAAATTGAAGAAAAAGATTGCAACTTATCAAGAAGGAGTAACATTGCGAAAGCAGGAAGTTGAACAAGCAAAACTAGCTGTAGCTAAAGACGAGGCAGAATTGTCGAAGCTAACAAGTGAGGAGAAAATACTTAAAGGGCTTGTTCAACAGCTTAAGGGTATGCTTTTGTTAATTCAGTTCCCTATAGTTATATGTGGTTCTCTTTTTTCGCTGAATATAATTATTATTGTTATTGCCACCAACTATGTAAATCTAGTAATTGGTGATCCCTCAAACTTTTGTTTTCCAATATGCATTACTTACTCCAAATTTGGTGATATTTACATAAATTTAACATAATACATAATTGATGACTGAAAAATAACTGTATGTGTGACAATAAATTTATGTAGTTGGCAGCCGCTACAGCATTGGTGGCACTTGACCATCATTATATGGAATTCACCATTAATAATGCAGCCATTGGTTTAGCCATTTCTTGATCCATGTCCCTTATATTTACGCAGATATGGGTTAACATCAATATTTTGTTATGTCCTACAAGGATGTGAGGGTTACTGACAGTTGAATTGGCAATATGTATTAGAGTTAGGAAGTGAAAAAATGAGAAAACTGAGAGATAGAAAAGAAGGTCAGCGCTTCCAATACTGAAACCCTACACCGTAACTTGCATTATATTACTATGATTACAATACACAATGAACAAAATACCCTCGTTGACTATACCAATCTAAAACACACACACTCCATTTCAAGCTGGAGCATAAAAATCAAACATGCCCATCTTGAAACAAAGACACTGGAAAGAAGAGCAAGGCAAGGGCTTTGTAAAGATATCGCCAAGTTGATCATAGGAGCGGAGATAAGGTGTAACAATTTGCTTACACATTAGTAAGTCCCGAATAAAGTGACAATCAACCTCAATATATGTTTGGTACACTCATGAAAAACTGGATTATTAGTTATGAAGATAGCTGCCTGATTATCATAGCACATTTCCATAGGCATCGTGACGCAAATACCAAAATCTTGAAGAGAATGAATATACAACACCTCAAAAGTAGTATGCGCTATGGCATGATACTTGGCTCCAGCACAGGGAGCAATAACACTCGCTTCTTCCTATGCCAAGTAATAAGATTAACTCCAACAAATGTACAATATCTAGTAGTGGAACGTTGGTCAGTTGGCTACCAGCCCAATTAGCATCACTAAATCCGGTAGCATACAAGGAAGGAGAGGACCATATAGTAAGTCATGCCCAGGCACACTCTGTAGGTAGCACACAACGTCGACAAACAACCTCAAAGCGGGGGTTATGAGGAGCATGCATATGTTGACTAACGAACCAACAACATATGTAATGTCAGGAAGAGTAACAAGAAAAAAGATCAATTTCCCAATCAGTTAGTGATAATGACCTACATGCTGGAGGGGATCTGTATCACTGTCTAAATAGTAGAATTCATGGTAGTATCCACATAATGAACACCCAAAAGATTAGTATCAGACAAGAGTCCGACCACTTACTTTTGTTGAGACAAATAAATACCCTTGGATGAATGAGCAACCTCAATCTTAAGAATGTAGCGCAGAAGACCCAAATCTTTAGTATGAAAATGTTTACCCAAGTGCTTCTTGAGATTATCAATGCCATGAGAATCATCACCTGAAATAATGATATCATTCATGTAGACAGTCAATACAATGGTTTTAGTTTGGGACTGATGAATGAAGACCTAGTGATCAAATGTAGAGCGATGAAAGCCGTATTCAAAAATTGCACTGAATCGATCAAAGCAAGCATGAGGAGATTGCCTAAGATTATATAGAGTAGTTTGGTATGTAGACAGTCAATACAATGGTTTTAGTTTGGGACTGATGAATGAAGACCTAGTGATCAAATGTAGAGCGATGAAAGCCGTATTCAAAAATTGCACTGAATCGATCAAACCAAACATGAGGAGATTGCCTAAGATTATATAGAGTAGTTTGGTACGATGCAAACGGCTGGAATGAAATGCCCATTGTAGATTTTCATTCCCTTTCCTTTGTTTGGTACAAATTATCCAAGGAGGAATTTTCATTCCAATGGAATGGCTACTCCAATAAAATGTGAGAATGCTTATTCCTTCCTCTAACCTAAGGAATAGCCATTCCATTTCATCATAGAATCATCATAAAACATTATCAATTAGCATACCACAATTATTCTCTTCTGCTACCACTCCCTTCCACTACTACTACCACCACCACTGCCACCACAACAACCACATTATCACCACCACCACCACCACAACAGCCATAACTACAATCATCGCTACCACAACTACCACATCACCGCCACCGCATTATCACTACCACCACACTACCCTACTATCGTCATTGTCATCACCACCACCGCCACGTCCACAACCACCACACCACCACCGCCCCCATTACTAGAACCACTTACTACCACCCCTAGCACCACCACCATTGCTTCCGCCACCACAACAACTACCTTACCACCACTATCACCACTTTCACAAAAATCACCCCACCACCGCCATTGAGAGAACCACCACTCTACTATCACCATCCGCCACCAGCACCACTGTCGTCACAATTACTACAACACGACCAATGCCATAGCGACTTGCCACCACCACCACCATCGTCCTACTACCACTGCTATCACCACCACTACTACCACAACTCACACCATCACTTCCATAACTATTAACACTATTATGATCTATATGAAATTTTAACTTATTTGTTACTAGCTTATTAAAATAAATAAATAAATAAATAAATAAATAAATAAACAAATGAAAACTTATTTCATTCCATTAGTTTAACAGGCATAACCAAACATGAGAATGACAATTATCATTCTATTCCTACGTCATTCCGTATTGGAAGCCAAACAATGGAATGGGAATAGACATTCCGTTCCATTCTCTTCCACTTTGTATTCCATTCTCACTTTCATTCCATTCACACTTCATTCCATTCTTTCGTGCCAAACATGCTCATAATGCTTTATACGATACATGCAAGATGCTTACTACTAGGAATAACATTGCCCGATGGTTGTGCTATATATACCTCTTCTTAAAGATCACTACGAAGAAGGGCAATTTTAATATCAAGTTGGTATAAGGGCCAAGAACGACTAGCGAGACGTAAGGAACCATCTTGCGGCCATGGGAACGTAGATAAACCTGTAAGGGAAAATCAAGTGAAGAATCGGACACGCGCTTGAGAGGAGTGAAAAAGGATTCCAATGGCATCAGTAAGGTAGGCTCCCCCTCACAACAACAAAAAAGGAATGTGTTTGGTCCTAGAAAATACTTCCTGGACTAAAGTAACTTGAGTACTAAAGAATTGTGTGGATTAAATAGTAACCAGAGGAAAAAAAGAATTGTGTGGATTTAAAAAAGGTAACTACGGCACTTACATAATACTTCTTGGACTAAGGATCATAATAACAATGCCCTTTCTGGGTACGGGAATATCCTAGAAAAACACACAAGCCCGAGGGGAGAGCTTATCATGACCTAGATCAAGAATATGAGCAAAGGTAACACAACCAAACACAGGAGTAAGAGAAACAAAAAATTTATGAGGATATAAAAGTGAAAAGGTGATTGATGCTGCAAAATTGCAGATGGCATACGATTGATAAGGTAACATGAAGTAAGGATTGCATCACTCCAAACCTGTTTGGGTACCTGCATATTAAATAACAGAGTACAAGCAACATCCAACAAACGGTGTTTCCGCTCAGCTACTCCATTTTGCTAAGAAGTATGGTGCAAGTGGTTTGATGTATGATACCACATGTAGCACAAAAGAAATAAATGACAAACTGAGTATGCTCGAGAGCGTTATCAGAATGAAAAATCTTAATATGCCAAATTGAGGAACAATCTCATTATAAAATCTTGAAATAACATCAAGTGATTATAGCTGTTTTTTCATGAAAAAAAATTATGTTATACAAGTATAATCATCCACAAAGATAATAAAAATGAAAAACTAGTCACACTCGCAGAATGAACTGGACCCTAAATATCCATGTGAACAATATCAAAGGATTCAGATTGATGACTAAAACTACTAGTAGGAAAGGAGCTACTAAGATGCTTGCGTAGTTGACACTATAAATTAGACACACGATTCAATGCAGGAACCACAAGCTTGAGTTTTGCCAAACACAGATGACCCAAACTGAAATTCTACTAAAGTGGAGAGATAGTAGAGCTCAATGCAGGCGAAGCGAGAGAAACATAACTATCAATGTCCAAGTAATACATGCCATCCTTCTCATGCCCCAAACGAATCCTCTTATGGGTCTGGAGGTCTTGAAAGAAACAAGTAGGAGTAAAGGTGATGGAACACTTAAGTCCCTAGTTAATTGACTAACAAAAAGTAAATTGAAAAAAAAAAAAATAGGCATGTAGAGACTAGAGGGTAAAGACAGAAGAAGTAGTGGGACGGAGAACAACTTTACCAAGGATTGGTCAAGAGGACCCATTTGCTAATAACAAGAATTAACTTAGAGAAAAGAGAGGATGTACCAGACATATGGGAGTTGAATTTGGAATCAAGAACCAAGGATGGAACTGAACTATTTACACGTGTGACATTACTTGAATGGGCTAAGGTAGTGGTGGAAGATGAGGGAAGAGCAATCGACAATGTCTGAACAAGCTCACTCATATGAGTAGTAAGGGTGTCACAAGAATCAGAACCAAAAGATGTGTATCACGTGATGGGGCTGTGGTTGTGGCTGGGTATTGTTTGCCACTGCATGCTCATGATCAGTCTTATCATACTTGACCTAACAAAAAGGTTCAGTATGGTTAAGGGTAGTACAATAATCACATTTCATGTCACCTCAACCACCAGTACGATCTCACCCATGAGAAGTACCACCACAAAAACCACCAACTGAGCTACTGCCACTCCAACCATGAAATCTGCCCGCCTCCACCACGATAACCATAAGTATTGCTACCACTATCAAGATAACCACCATGTGAACTATTATGGTTTCCACTAGTAGAAACCAAAGAGGTGGTGGAAGAACTAGGCAGAGAAGTCTATCCCAATGAGGAGCGCAACAACCGAGAATATGCATTAGACCCCTATATTGGCACTTGTGGA